TTGTAATTAATCCTGCATTCTCTCTTTGGGTGGAAAAATAAAAGGGCTGGACACTTTTTGTATGACTGAAATCAACTGGTGGAGGCATACAAATCATCGGAAACACAGTGAGCCTTCTGGGTATGGAGAGACCGACTAAACCAAGGCCATTCGTTGGAAGCAAAGATGCACACTTGTATTTTGTGGAGCTTTTGCGTACTTGGAGAGTTTTTCTCTTCGGCAATGACTGATGATAAACAGGAATTAAAATTTGGACGTGCAAGCTACAACTCGGGTTGAACCTGGGTTCGTTACGATTTATGTGAAACAGGTTTGTAGTCTGTTTTATACATGATGGATAGTACAGGAAGTATCAGAATTGCATTTATCTTTGCCCGTCTTTCGCGTTTCGAATGCCACATATGTATGGTTTTAGACAAAAAGGTTACTTTTTATTTTTAAGTATTTTTAAAATATTTCTATAAACTTGGTAACCTGTCCATTTCCAAATGAACTCAACTTCTAAGGGTTTTCGCTCTCACGCCAAGAATTGCTTTAGGTTCATTACTGGAGTTGCATTAGAATGTTTTGTCTTCTACAAAATCGGAGATGTTCTTTAATTGAAAAAGTAAGCATGGGCAGGCAGCGAGGCTTTGTACAGCTACTGTGTGCAACTCACACCCTGAAAAGCTTTGTTCTCTAATGCAGCCTAGGCTTGAACTATTTTTATCATTTTTTTTATTCTAGAAAATAACCGAAAGTGACGCTGTTTTGCAAGTGTGGTGATTGTGGGCGTACAGTAATGCAACAAAGAAATTCTCAAGGATACTCACAGCCCACTGAGTGTGAACACACAGCATCATTGTCCGACATTTGGTGGCTGATTGTCTCAAGTGTGCGGATCGAAGCAGCCCTGAAACTCTGGCTGGCAGGACAGATGGGAAGGATTAGAAAGAAGGTTGAGGAGTTAAACCTTGTCTTAAATAGAAGTACATGAGGCACTGAGAAACAGCTCCGCTCTTCAACACACACATGTTAAATTTTACGGAACCACTCACGTGAACGGCTGGGCAGAGCGTGAAGCGAATACAGCGGGAACGTTGTCCTCCAGATTTATTGCTTTATGTGTGTCTTGCACCGAGGCCCTGCCAGCGGTTGGCTCTAAGCGACTGCGGCCATTAGGGGCTGCAGCCCGTTTGTAGACCTTTGTAAAACATAGCAGGGTGTGTGAACTCCTTTTTGGGAGCTGTAGAGAAAGAAGTTGCTGTCGTGTAACTGAACTGATCCCAGAGAGCCTCCGCTTTAAAGCTTTTTTGCTTCACTCGCTGTTCTCCCCAATACTGCCCACGTTGCCAGTAGTTACATCCTTAAATTGTGCAGTGCCAAAACAAAGCTGACCAGTTCCCAGACTTAAGCAATGAGGGACTGGAGTGATATGTGGATATATTTTTTTTCCAAGATGTGAATGCATCGCTTGAACAGGTCATTTTTACTGACTGGTATTTTTGTGCAGAAACGAAATTCAATTACTTCACAATTTATTTTTTTTTGTATGAAACTGGAGCACAGTTTGAATTCCAAACTAAATATTAAGACAGCTGTTTGTGAAGTTTCTAAATCTTGTTGTAAATATTTTACTTATCCTAGTTCTCTGACTGATATTTTGTGGCAAGAATGATTGATAGAATCATTCAGAAGGGACTGCAGGTGCCAATTCAAATTTTTTTCTAAAAATGTAAAGGAGTTGGCCTCCTGTTCCTATTTCTGGACAGCTGAGGATCTTTTCTGAGCATGTTCTGCCCGTATCAAAATCAAGATCTTTAGAAAAAATAATCCCCATCTTACTGTTATTTTTTAATGTTACTAGCCAGACCTACTTCTACAAATTGTTGTTTACTTTCTATTTACAGACTTTGAAAACAATGAAGTTCACTTTGCTTCACTGAAGCAGAATAAGCGGTGCTACTAGAAGGAATTCTAGATTGGTAGAATTACGATGATGGGCAGGAGAATTACTGCCTTAACCACACCAGCATTGCTCAATCTGAAAGACTCAAAGCGTGCTGTTTTGCCAGTAAAATTTGCCATATATTGGCAAAGCCCGGGAAGCCCCCCCAGTCCGTTCTGACTCCTGTCAGCAAAATCCAGAGCTAATGCTGACCAAGCAAAATCACCTTCTTACGAAACAAAAATCACTGTATTTCCACTGCACTACCACCAGAACGCTGGTATAATTTGCTGTGGATTTAGCAGTTTTCCAGGAACAATCCCACGCTGTCCTTGTCCTGTAATAGCAGCTGCTTCGGCGCTGATTCAGCCTGCCCTGTCTAGGCACCCGGCTTCCACTTTCAAACCCCCGCTTTTTTGAAAAATCCCACTTCAGCTACTTTTGCGTCCAGACTTGCCATCAGGTAAACCTGCTCGTTAAAAAAACCCAAAAAACCCAATACAACCGAAAGCTGATACTGCAAATTGGTCTATTAAAGAAAACCCAGAGCATGTAAGCCTTTGGAGCGAACAGGCAATGTAAGCGTAATGCATTAACTGATGCACACAAACTCATTAGAGATTATACGTGAAGCTCTGCAAATTAATACAATTAATACACAATGCCTCCGAGCGCCTTTTTGCTCAGCGGTGTGATACAAGCAACCTTTCCCGTTTCTTACTTTGTTCTTGAAGTTTCTCCCTTTACAGAACACCAGCAGGGCTGTATTCAGCAGCGACAATGAGAATATTCAGTCTGCAGGCTGCATAATGAAATAGTGCTATATTTTTTTTCTAAGGGAAATACTCAGTAGTTGGTCTGCAGCGGGTCTTACAAGAATTAGTTGTTTGGGTTTTTTTGTTGCTTCTAAAAGTCTCCTAGAATTTACAGCTTCAGCAGGTTGGATCCTTCAGGCTCACAGTTGGCAATTTACTGATGCAACTGCACCAGTAAAATCTTTCGATTTTTCACTTCTAGGCGAGCCCCATTTCCCAAAACTTCTGCAAGTCAGCTCTCACCCCTTCTGGATCCGTCACCCAGCTTGTTTCAGCAGAGAGCACGCAGCCCCACCTAGTGTCCTGCTCCCATCTAACAGGCTGCAACTCGTGTTTCTCAACAGACAAAACCATAAAGCGATTCCAAGTTCAGTTGCCAACTTTAATAAATTTCAGAAGCTACCCGCACCCCCAGCGCAGACCTCCTTCCCCTTACTCCATGGTGCCAGGAACGTTAAGTAGCAGAGTTGAACGCTATTCCAAGTTTGGCTGTGCAAAATGCAAAGGTTTGATCATTGGAAGGCAAAGCAGGTAAAATCTAAGAATGTTCTTTGGGTCTTTTCCTGACTCCCTGAACCAATTCATTTTCCGAAAAGACATCCGTAAAACCGTGTGTCTCTCACGTGTGACATTTACTAATGACTGCTGATAAAGCAAGAATCAGCTGGTGCACTTTAAGTATAGCCTGATTTCATTTAAAGGCACATAGTATTTCCTTTTTAAAGGACATACATGCTTCTTTTAGATTAAACCCAGGCTGTTTATTTGGATAAGTCTGTATGAAGCCCAGTGAACTGTGACCTTACTCTCCCTTCCTCTCACATCTCTTTCAGCCGGCAGCGGGCCACACGCAGGTTCCGCCGGCCCAAGACGCACGCCGGTTTGCCCGTCAAGGGCTGGAGGGCCAGGCTGCTCGTGGCAGCTTGCAGCGGGGTAACTGAACGCAGCCCGCTGCGCTTACTGAGCGGGCAGAGCGGTGAACACGCACCCCCTGCGGTGCTCATGTGCTAGGCCAGCACCACCGGGCCACAGAGGCCTGGGCCGCCATCGCGGTCACGGCCCCTC